TGAACCTGCTGTTCCCTCTTGTGGTGGCTCCTGGCAGCATGGAAAGCAAACAGTGACCTCGGCGGGTCAGAGAGTCATTCAGCTGAGAGCAGGCCTGGCAGAAGCTGTGGCCACAGGAGATGCTCCCAGGGGCCTCCTCTGTCCAGGCATGTGCTGCAGGTCACTTCTTCCAGGGGTGTCCAGTAGGGACCCCAAGGCCATGACTGTCCTGCAAGGTGGGTGAGGAAGGTGAACAAGGGAGGGCAGAGGAGACGCTCAGGGAGGAGGTGACCACACCTGCCCTGGTGAGACCACAGGAGCCTCCTCCCTGCCCCGCACACTCTCACCCTCTCCAGTCTCTGCTCCCCACGGCGCCCCAGGCCTTTGTCAACATGGACTCCCACCTGCCTTCTCTGCTCCCCACACCAGGCAGGGAGGGCCCACAGGGCCTGTCATGGTGATGAGGTGTCCACTTGTGGAGGTGTCCACTTTCTCCCCCACCCCACCTGCCTCCAGTACCAGAGCAACATCAGGAGGAATGTTTTTTAATTTGACTTGTCAATAGAAGAGCTGGCTGGGCAGGTAGTGGCTGCCCGTCACTAAGAGGACCCAACCCTCACTCTGGATGTTTCCAGTGGATGTGACCACACTGAGGCCTCAGCCTCCTCAGCTCAGAGACCCTTCCTCACTGCAGCTGCCACAGCAGGGGGCCCTGGGTGGTCAGAACCCTGGGTCGCCCAATGTGTGGCCTGGGCTGCGCTTCTGAGTCTCACTCCCCACAGTCATTAGTTATGCTGGGATCATGGTATCTGACAACTTCCAGGGTGTCATGGGTTAAACTGAATAATTCATGCAAATGTTTCTCTTATTTTCATTGTTGACTTTTTCCCCCTTTTTTTCTTTTGGTTGCATTATGAAAACTCAATTCAACACTTTCTCCTTCTCCCAGGTGTTTTTCTAATTGCACAGCCTTGTTCCAGCAACAACCCAAATAAAAGATCTTTTATAGTAAAAAACACTCACCTCCAAACCCAGTAGCAAATACCATAATGATACTTACCTTTCCGTGCTCTCCTCCAGCGCGGCCATGCGTACAAGGAGATGCATCCTGAACACTAGTGGGGAGAGGCGTGGGGGAAGCAGCCTGGGTTTGACCTGACCTCCTCTCCCTGCTGCACATGGAGGTTTGCGCTGGGGAGACGGGAGAGCCCCAGAATGAGAAAGAAACGTCAGTTCGCCCCTCTAACATTCCATCTTCCCCTAGGAGCTGAGAGAGACCCTGGTGGGTCCGCTAATCTTGAGCAGCCTGTTCAGCGGCCATTTGTGTGACCTGCAGTTCTGCATTCCTGCACAAGGTCAGAGCTGCCCAGTCACTCAGTCATGGGAGCCAAAACTTACAAGGTGCCTTTCAAATCTTTCAAGGGAGAAAGCTTGATCACTCTGGGAAGGCGATGCATCACAAGGTGTGACAAGGGAGCCCAGAAGCTGACCAGTGGGCTGCCTTGTTGATAAGATTAGGCCCATGGTCCTGAGTCTGGGGTCTGGTTTCAATTCCAATACTTGATCATCAAGCAGATAAGAATTATCTGGTCAGCAGACTCCTGTCCCGCTGAAGCCCAAGATGGCATTCATTATTTCACCCACCCTTTCCTCCTTGTCCTCCTACCCCATGTAGCTGACGCTGTATGATTATTCTAGCAATAAAAATGGCCAGGATCTTCCTCTTCAGCAGCATCCTGCATCATGTAGCCTGCTGCATGACTCCCGTTTCTTCATCAGTGTGGTGTTGCCCGGCGCAACAGACCCTGCTCCATCTCCCCTCCCTTCCTGGACTGTGGACAAAGGCTCAGCTCAGGAACTGGGGTGACCTGGACTAATCCTGCCCCTGGGCCAGGCCAGCAGGACACATACTCCTCCCTCCCCCTGTGTGGCTCCCTACAGCTCTGGTCTAGAGAGAAAGTAGCTGCAGCGCATGGAACAACCTCATTTTGAGGCCTGTGGGTTTTCTACGGTGACTCCAAGGAAGATGAACGTAGGGGACTGAAGATGAACATTGGCAACTGGGGGAGGGAGCTGTCAGGGGTGAAGTTACCACCACATCCTAGCAGGGCCCTGGAGGGGTGTCCTGCCCAGCTCCTTACACCTCAAGCCAACCATGAGATATTTCTAAACCTCAGCCTCTTCTTCTGGTCCTGTGCTTTTTCAGTCCTGCTCAGAAACTGCTTCTCCATGAAACTGCATTTACTGAGGTGTTGTTCTGACACTCTCTACTCTGTGTGTGATTTCAATTCATTTATTCTGTGGCTTGATGTTAATTGTCTTCCCATCATCTTGTGTTGTATATCCTGGGGTTACTCTGACCCTCTGTCTCTGGTTCCCCTCAGAGGCACCCTCTCTGCAGTGTCTCTACTCAGCAGGGTGTGAGCAGCCCCAGGAGTCCCTGCACCTCCTGCCTCTGACCTTGTGGGAAATCAGCCCCTCAGCCTGCATGACAGTGAGGAGGCGAAGGCAATGTCTTGAGGTCAGTGATTGATAAAGGAGACAATTTGCTTTTTTTGTTTCTTTTTCCCCTCATTGTATTATTCAGTTGAGGTAACATTGCATTACACACTGTATGTGTTCCCAGGCCCAGGGTCACCCCTCTTCAGATGTTTGTTACCACATCACGCCTACCACAAGGGGACCCACAGTCTTCACCATAGTCCACTGGGCCCTCTCCCTACCTTGTTTCCTGCTCTTACCTCCACCCCATAGCTTCAATTCTACAGTCATATTTCTAGAGTTTGTTTTGGTTTAGTTTTACCTGTGCCTGCTTTGTTTCTTTATATTCCACATATGAATGAAATCATCCAGTATCTAACTTTCTCCTTCAAACTTATTTCACTTAGCATCATCCCATCCATATCTATCCTTGTTGCAAAGTCAGTATTTTTATTTTTCATGGCTGAGTAGTACTCCATTGTGTATATATAGTTTGTGTTCTTTATCCTCTTACCTGCCGTTGGGCACTTAGGTTGTCTCCATTTCTTAGACAGTGCTGCAGTGACCATAGGAACCACATGTTCCTCAGAATTAGTGTTTTACCGTCTTTGGATAAATACCAAGGAATGGAATGCTTGACCATGGGACAGGTCTATTTTGAATATTTTGAGGAACCTTCATTTGTTTTCCATAGGGGCAGGACCATTTTGCTATCCATAGAAAAGAGAGGTTCCAGGTTACCACCCCACCCAAGGAAAGGTGGGGCTGAGCAGGGACGAGAAGTTAAGGAAGAGGAGGAGGATGTGGAGTAAGATGAGGAAAGAAGACTGGAGGAGGCGCGTGGAGCAGAGAGACATGTGAAGAAGCAGCCAGGCTTGGACTTGTGCCAGGGAATTGGGGCCACAAAAAGAGACATGTAAAAGAGACAAAGACTTGGGTGAGAGGCCCATGGAGATGCTGGCAATGGCAACTGTTATCTTGATGTGGATTTTGATTTTGCTCTTTTCCCTCCAGATTTGACTGGCTCCTCCTGCCCCTGTCCCATGGGTCTCTACCATTAGGTGCCTTAGCCTTGTGGCAGGCATTCAGGCTCCAGTGGGCCTGCTTTGGGCCAACCCTGTTTTGCTGGGCATTTACCCATGAGGGGACGGGTAGCTTTGGGTGCTTCACTTGCGACCTATTCTAACTATATTCTTTCTCTTTGCTCTATTGCACACTAATTCTCTGTTGCACGCTAAGTGTATTAAAGTTCTTTTCTATTGAAAGTCTTATGCTTTGGAGTATGTTTTGTCTTTATTCAGCTGATGGCAGATCCCATGTAGAGTGTACAGGGTTTCCTGGGAAACCCACATTCTGCCCACTAACAGGACCAGACTTCATTCCCACCCACCATGTACCAGAGAAAGTTCCTTTTCCTCCGCACCCTTCAATGGGTCATTCTCACAGATGTAAGGTAGTAACTCATTGTGATTTTAATTGGCATTTTCCTGACAGCACATGACAAACATTTATCCACATACCTATTGGCCATCTGTATGTCTTCTTTACAAAAGTATCTATTTAGCTTCTCCGCCCCTGTTTTTATTCAGCTGTTTTCTTGTTTTGCAGTTCGTTGTAGATCTTGAATAGTAACTCCTTTTTGGATTGATGATGTGTAAAAATTTTCTCCAACTTGATGTTGTCTTTTCATTTTAATGAGTTTCACTCACTATATAGAAGCTTTTTAGTCTCATGTGATTCCATTGGTTTCTTTTTGCTTTTGCTTCCTTGGAGCACAGAAGACATTAGGGGCAGTGAAAATACTCTGCATGATATTCTCATGATGGACACAGGTCATTATACATTTGTCCAACACCCACAGAATGGACAACACCAGAGTGACCCCTGAGAGAAACCATGACTGTGCGACTATGACGTGCGGGTCCATCACTTGTAACCCACGTGCCAGTCTGATCTCAACACGTGATTTGGACATGATGTGTTAGGAGTTTTATAAATTGAGGAATGAAGTGTAATGTATTTTTGAAAGCATATTTCATGCTCATGCAAGGACATTTAAATAACACTCAAGGATAGCATAAGTAAGTCATTCCCTTCCATCCCCCAACATCCCGGTCAGCCAGTATCTGCTCAAAACCAGTTAGCAATTTTTTCTTCTCTAAAAAAATATATCCATGCTTCTGTCTGGACAATGATGCTTGTTTTCCCGTCAGTAAAGGAGTTCAGGTCACAGAGTAGGGGAAAACATTTGCATATCATGAAACTGATAAAGGACAGTATCAAGAATTTACAAATAATGCTTAAAACTCATTGATCACCAAGAAATAACCCAATTTTAATATGGACAAAAACAGTGTTATAAATAGAGCAAAAAAAAAAAAAATTGACTTCCAGGCCTCCCCTGGTGGTGCTGACGGTTGAGCACAGCACTGTGAGGCTGTCCGCAGCCTCTGCAGTGCAGGTTCGATCCCAGCCGGCGGGCGAGAATCCCACATGGCGCGGCAGACCTCTCCCATCTCACCCGCTGCTCCCCTCAGCAGTCTGCCTGTTCTGTTCCCCACTCTGTCTCTGGTGAATCTGATCACCTCCCGTGCATCTGGCCTGTACCCTAGTTCTTGTATGCATGAATAAATAAATCTTTTTATTTATTATATTTTATTTATTATTATTTATAGACATAGCAACTGATGTAGACATAGAAAAATAAAAATATGAACAAATGCTCAATATCACAGTTAACAAAAACAGTGACAAATCACCCTGGTGCCCAGGGTGTGCACAACAGGAGCCTCATCAGGTTCATTGTAAAAGATCCTTAGGGGCTGAGAGACACATCAGAGCCCTGGGCACTATTGCTGCCTGGTTGAGAACAAAACAGAGCCTGGTCAGAGATGAGACCACAGGAGGGAGTGATGAGGGTGACTCCCCCATGGAGTCCATTTACACTGTCCCCAGGGGCTCAGGGATCAAACCTGCAGCCTGAGTGTAGCTTCCTCCTTGTCCTCCTGTGGGAAGAAACATCATGTGAGACCAAGGAGGAGTCAGGTCAGAAGACCTAAAGGAATCTTTTAATCCTGCACAACAGGGAAGTTTCCAGAACTGTGACTAAAGACCCAGGTCAGGACTGAGAAAAATGAAGAAAGGAGGTGAGGGGGGACTGGACCAAATGCCCTCTGGGCAACACCTGTGTGTGTGGAAGTTGCTTCCCATTAACCAGGCAGGGCAAGTTCTCCCTGGAACCTGAAAGCCTTCAGTGGACAAGATCCCCCACTCCCTTCCCTACCTAAGCGTTTCTTCCTCCACATCACAGCTGCAGCACCCCAGCTCCAGTGAGTATAGCTCCAAGGAGAACCAGGGCATCAATGGTGCTCGTGGTGGGGATGGAGGACTGAGCAGGGGGCACTGGAAGGGAAAGGAAGATCATACCCTGAGGCCCAGGCCTCATCCTCACCCTCTGAAGGGCTCCAGAAAGGCTCCTGATGGCCCTGAGAATAGCCTCTGTGCCCACATCCTCCTCCTTACCCCATCTTAGGACTTGGAGCTCCAGCAGTCCCTCATGCTGCACATGGCACGTGTATCTCTGCTCCTCTCCAGAAGGCACCACCACAGCCACCCACTTCTGGAAGGTTCCATCTCCCCCAGGCCTGGTCTCCACCAGCTCCATCTCCTGGGTCAGGTTCTCCCCATCTCGCTGCCAGGTCAGGGTGATGTCCGCAGGGTAGAAGCCCAGGGCCCAGCACCTCAGGGTGACCTCATGCTCAGAGGTGGGGTGGTGGGTCACGTGTGTCCTTGGGGGATCTGAGGTGGAAAATCAGAAAACTCACTGTGTTTCCTCCATGGACACTGAGGAATCATCGTGAGACCATCCTCACAATGGACAAGACAACTGGCGTGGCAGGAATGACAGGGGTGAAGGATGCCCTGAGCAAACTCCTTACAGGCTTTGTGGACTCCACCCCCACGACACTGGGAACTACAAATCCCATGATCACCAAAGGGAAGGTTGCGAGGGCCTGAGGGTGGAGTTAAGCAATTAGGCTCTCCATTTGAGTATTTAACTGGTCAAGAGGCCGGGAGTCTCTGGGTTGGCCACCAGGCGTGCTAGGTTTTCGCCACCTCTGTGGGTCACTGGGATTCCAGGTCAGCAGAACGGGCAGGGTGCGTTTAAGAACTTATCTCCTTTTTCTCCCTGAGTTAGTCATTTCCCATTTCCCCTTTCCTTGTAAATAAACCTTTTAGCAACCTTTTGTGTGTGTCTGCAGTTTAGCATTCATAAGTCCCCTTTAAGCGTGCAGGTGAGGACCCACAGCCAGGAAACCCCATTTTATATTGGGGTTTTCCCTGTAACAGCTAGAAGCATAAAATGTAAAAAACAGGCTAATCTGGGGGAATCTGTGAGATTCTCCTATTCCTTAGAAAGTCCTAGAATGAGGAGGAAAACCCAGGGTAGGATGAAGCAGAGGGAGTGGAGCACAGACTTTTTATTCCTGTCCTGGGTGGAAGGTGAATGACACAGAAAAGCAGGAATCACATAACTGAAAATGTTCTCAGACCAGAAACAAGACTGAGAGAGAAACTCGTGGTTCTCAAACAGGCCCCTGGTCAAAAGGACCCGGTGACGCGTGATGTCAGGGACTGTCTGTCTTTCTCAGGAGAGACGGGATCCCTTCACTGTCCTTCAGGAGAAGCCGGAGTCTCTGGGAGTCTCTCTAGTGCAGAACATGAAACCCAGGGGAGTCCCCCTCTCGGGACTAGAGAGAGGACTCATTTCCCCCAGTGACTCCAGGCAGGGGGGGACCGGGAGGCCTCCAGGCCCCTCTTACCCGTGCGCTGCAGAGTCTCCTTCCCGTACTCCAGGAATGTGCGCAGCCACCTCAAACACTTGTCCTCCACATAGTTTCTGAATCTCTCTGCCCGACCTTCCTCCTCCCACTTGCGCTGGGTGATCTGAGCGGCCGTGTCCACCGCGGTCCAGGAGCGCATGTCCGGGTTCAGGGCCAGGTTATCGGCGCCATCGTAGGCGAACTGAAGGTACCCGCGGAGGCGGCGCCCGTCGGGCCCCACTTCGCAGCCAAACATCCCCTGGAGGGTGTGAGAGCCTGTCCCAGGCCCATGTCACCCCGTGATCACCCCGCGGTCACCCCGACCTCCCGCCCCCCGCCGGGAATAAACTAAACAGAATGAAACGGGGTGAAAGTCCCGCGGGCTGTTCCCGGGCAGGTTGCAGAGAAGCCTGGAGGGGGAGACCCTGAGCGACCCCCCCACACCTGTCCGTGGGGATGGGGGTGCTGACCCGGCCCGGCCCCGCGCCAGCTCACCGGTCTCGCTCTGGTTGTAGAGGCCGCGCAGGGTGTGCAGCTGCGCTCGGGACCATAGTGCTTGGTCCCTTAGGATCCGCGTCTCCTCGTCCCACACCTCCTGCCCCAGCTGCTCCGCCCAGGGCGCCTGCGGCTCCGCGCTCTGACCCCGGGAGTCGCTGTCGAACCGCGCGAACTGCGTGTCGTCCACGTAGCCCACGACGATGAAGCGGGGCTCCCCGAGGCCGGGCCGGGACATTGTGGTGTCGAGAGTCCTCATGGAGTGGGGGCCTGGGGGCGGGAGGGGAGACCCGGGCTATTCTTCTCCCCTTCGGGGGCTCGAGTCCCAGGGGGCGCCCACGAGACAGAAAGTGGGTGAAAGACGAGTGAGAGTGAAAAGCGGCTGCGGGACTAACATGGCCGGGACTCGGGGGGCCAGAGGAGGCTGGGGTCTCGGGGGACGGAAAGGGGCCAGGACAGGGCGGGGCCGAGGTGGGGGGACAACTAGGGCGGCGGCGAGGTCGCGCCTTTCCCACTCCCGCCCGCGCCCTCGCCCCCGCCTCTGGGAGCGCCCTGTCCCCTCCCGACCCGCACTCACCCGCCCGGGTCTCCCTCGGGGCCGCGGCCCCCGCGAGCAGGAGCAGGAGGGCTGCGCCCCCCATCCCCCAGGACGCGCCCCCACCCGGGCTGGGGAGACGGAGTCCCGGCGGGCGGGCGAGGGCTTTGGAACGGGAGCCGCGGGGCTGCTGATTGGCTGCTCTGGAGACCTCCAGGCAATGGGGAGTGAGCCCTGGGGTGAGTCACCAGTATCCAGGAGGGAGGACCCGACTCAGGCTGTGACACGTGAAACTGGGGAGGTGAGGAAGCCCGGACAGTCACCTTCCCGCCACAGAGAGCGCCTGGGGTAGTGACACTTTGAAAGCCACACCCCGACACCCCTCCTCTCCTGCACCAAAACCTTTGTCACACAGTCTCCCAGAGTCCTGGCCCAGGAACTGGGTCAGCGATTCTCAAAACATTTTTCTTTCAGGATGTCTCTACAGTCTCACAAATTATTACGGATCCCATGCATAATTTTTATGTGGGTTATAGCTTTAAATATTTGCTTTACTAGAATAAAGGCTTTTTAAGATGGTATTACTTCTTTACTTTAGAATATTAATAACCAATGTATGCTAACAAAGCATTTTTTAAAAAAGATTTATTTATGCATACAAGAGCTGCCGTGCAGGCCAGAGATGCTTGGGGTAAGAGAATTCACCAGAGACAGAGTGGGGAGCACATCAGGCAGATGTACTGAACACACTGCTGAGGGGAGCAGCCGGCTAGACAGGAGAGGTCTGCTGCACCATGTGAGTAACTTCCTGGCCAGGGATTGAACTCATGCTGCAGTGGCTGCAGGTAGCTTCCTAGGTTGAGTCTTAACCCCTTGCACCAGCAGGAGACCCTAACAAAGCATTTTTAAGAAAATAACTTTCTGTCAATATAAGGATAATGAAAAGAGGGGAAATTTTACATTTTATATTGTTGTGTCATTTTTGCCTCATTAGAAGATCTTTTATTTTCATAGTTTCTTCTACATTTAATGTTTTGTTTGAAATCTATGAAAAAATATACAATCTCATGGAAATATGTAGGAATTGTAAATATTTTAATAACCTTTTTAATATTAGCGTATTTTAATAACCTTTTCAGATTATGAATATTCAACTTTGTTACAACTTTCATACGAAATCATAACTATATAAGCAATATTTTCTCAAAGGTTATTTGCAAAGTGAAATCTGAAGCAATGTCATTGAATATTTCCTATTCTGTTACATTAACTCCCTAGGCTTCTCCTGTATATTAATGGATCTTTTACAATTGTATGATTTTTTTAAAAAAAGTTACCTATTGTTTCACTGCGTGTGATACAGCTATATAGTGTTAATAACACTGGGGTCAAGTTATCAAAAATCACATGTTTTATTTTTACCACAGATCCCAAAAGAAAAATTAGTCCATACTGTAAGTTGTCAAGTTTATAGTGATAGGACACAATTCTCCATAATTCTGATTTTCTCTGGGAGTTTACATTTTATCAAGGCAACAAGTGGCATCAGTTGATTTTTAAAAGGGACAGACTCACCTTCATGTTCAGGAAAGTGTCTGCCAATTCAACTAGTCTAAGTAACCATGGTTTTAGCCATTCCTTCCTTCAATTAAAAATGATATTGCCTAAAAGAAGAGGTGAATTCACTTCATACATTTTTCCCTCTGGGACACGGCCCTTTGGACTGTAGCAGACATGCCTTATGTGCACTTCCTTGTCATCATTTCAGACCTTTAAAAAATGTGGATTTCAGGATGATAAATAGAAAATACGCTTTTGTGATTTAACCAGGACATTTTGAAGTGACACTGGTCTGGATTTTTTTTTTCCTGAGAGAAAGTGGGGTGAACAATAACTACTATTGCAGTTGGTACTATAATTTCCATTTTTACTAAGTTTTACCTTAGCAAATGTCAAAATAGTGAAAGGTGAAAGGTGTCTAAGAGATGTTATAAAAATAGTTTTGACCTCCTGGATCCCGTGAAAGGTTCTGGGTGACCTCAACAGCTCCACAGACCTACTTTGGAAATGCTTTTCTCAGTGAACCAGGGAGAGTCTCTGCCATCTCCTTGGTTTGGATTTCCAGCTTCCTAAGTTTTTTTTAGAGCTTTGCCTCTGGACTCCCTGGAAGAGCACTCATTTCTCAGAGATGATGAGAAAGTGCTCAGTCTGAGAAGGGAGGTGGAGATACAGGTGCTTCTTTTTGGAACTGGGACAGTTTGTGTCTGGAGGCAACAGACCCACTGATAATCTTTTTTTATTTTGTTTTTCACCTGCGTAATATGTATTTCCATCCAGGGACCTCACCTCATCTTTAAGAGAGATAATATTGGCCCCTTGATTTTATATGTGTTTAATGCATCTGACTTGATGCTCCCAAAGCATGAAGAGCTGTGCTGTCCAATAGAATGTTCAGGAAGAAAGAAATGTTCTACATATGCACTGATCAATATGGTGCCTCTAACTGTTGAACACTTGAAGTGTGGCACAGGGTGCAGCAGGCTGCGCCTCCCATACTGTCTCTTGACAAGGTCTGGGCATTGGGGAGACCCAGTGAGACCCTCAGTAGGAGATACTTGTACGAACTAAAGTGTTTGTGTCTTCCTCACTTCTACCTCGCTCCACTTCCCTTCAGCCCTGCAAGAGAAACTTGGCCGATGCCGTCCTCTCCTCTCTGAGACCCCTGACACAATTTCTAGCTGGGGCTGGTCTCCAGCAACAGGGAGTGGAAAGGAAAATCATCTGCTTTACAGTCTCCAGGGTGTGGTCAAGTGGCTGCAGAGAGAGGCTGTGGGGAGAGAAGATGGCGCCTCAGACACAGGGCAGCTCCAAGGACTCCTCTCCTCTCCTTCACTCCCCCCACCCCAGCCTGCAGCCAGGGCTGCTCACAGGGCATCTCATCCCCTCCCCAGTGATGCTCAGACAAGGAGAGTGGCTACTATAATCTCACTAGACACTGGGAATGGGTGCCCTTTGTAAAAAGACAGGGTCGGGGTCACCAGTAGAGTCCCACAAAGTCCAGGACCCCTCCCCTTGTGTTCGGTGTGAGACAGATAAGTCCATACATTGTGTTCCAGTCACGCTGGAAAGGGAGTGATTAAGCCCAATAGACCCCCGTGAGCAAGGAGACTGTTCATCACCCACGGCTAGAGTTTAAGAGGAGGGACGCCTCCTGTAGATAGGGGTTGGTGTTGGACACCGCCTTCCTGTTGTGGATGGGAACTTCCTCTTTGTCTTGCAAAAGGGTGCACCTCTCTCCTGCATGCTAAAGTTGAAACCAGTTTTCAGGTGCAGTCTTCTCTGGTTGCACCTGTTGCTTCTCTTACTTAGTAAGTCACTTAGACTTGAGTCTTGACATAGCCAATCAAGAGGCCACGGTGCATGGTCCTGGTGTGACTGGAGGGCCTCCGACTTAGCTACGGGGATGCCCCTGCTTTGTCTCTGCACCGTTCTTGCGGGTACTTTTCTTTTATTGCTGCAGAGATCATAAAATGCTCTATCTCAATTCCATGGGACATGCCCTTGAGCTGCATTTTTGAAAACTAGCCCAATTTGGCTCAGGCTCTAAAAAAAAAAAAAAGCACCTATTGTGTCTGTAAATACTACCTGGTCCCAGTACAAAAGTACAAAACATCCAGCCCAGCATCCTGAGCTGTGACACTCCTCTCCAGCTAAACTGAACTCTCCCTTTGTCCACCTTGAGATACTGTTTTGGTTCATTCTATGGGGAAAAAAATCTATTTCCTTGTATCTTCCTAATCTTGGTCATGCTGAGAGACCAAGAGAAACCAACCTCTTGCATAAATACCAGGGGTGACCTAAGAGGTGACTGTGTCTTTCCGGACAGTGAATCTATAACTTATATTGTCTCATCAATAATTTTTAAGGGTCTGAAATTCTCGTGATGCAAGGAACATACCTCAACATCATAAAGCCATATATGACAAGCCAACAGCCAGTATCATTCTCAATGGTGAAAAGCTGAAAGCATTTCCATTAAGATCTGGAACAAGACAAGGATGTCCACGCTCACCACTGCTTTTCAATATAATACTGCAAGTCCTATCCAGAGCAATAAGACAAGAGAAAGACATCCAAGGAATACAAATAGGAAAAGAAGAAGTCAAACTATCACTATTGCAGATGATATGATAATATACATAGAGAACCCCAAAAATTCACAGAAAAACTAATTCAACTAATCAATTAGCTCAGTAAAGTGGCAGGATACAAAATCAACATGCAAAAGTCAGTAGCCTTCCTATACACACACAATAAATCTGAAGAAGAAGAAATCAAAAAAACCATCCCTTTTATTACTGAAACAAAAAAAATATCACATACTTGGTAATAAATCTAACAAAAGAGGCAAAGAACCTATACAAAAAAAACTATAAAATACTGTTAAAAGAAATAGAAGAAGACACAAAGAAATGGAAAGACATCCCCTGCTCATGGATTGGAAGAATAAACATTATTAAAATGGCCATCCTACCAAAAGCAATATACAGATTCAATGCTATTCCAATCAAAATTTCAATGTCATTCTTCAAAGAAATAGAACAATTGTTGATGAAATTCATATGGAATCATCAAAAAACCCAAATAGCCAAAGCTCTCCTGAAAAAAAAAAAAAGAAGGGAATGGAGGCATCACACTCCCAGACTTCAAACTATACTACAAAGCCATAATCATCAAAACTGCATGGTATTGGAACAAGAACAGACACACAGACCAATGGAATTGAATAGAAAATCCAGAAATAAACCCACAGATTAATGGTCTACTAATCTTTGACAAAGGAGCAAAGAATATGCATTGGAGCAAAGAAAATTTGTTCAATAAATGGTGCTGGGAAAACTGGGTCGCTACATGCAAAAGAATGAAGCTTGACCACTACCTCACACCATATACAAAAATCAACTCAAAATGGATTAAGGAACTAGACATAAGACCTGAAACCATAAAATACATAGAAGGAAATATAGGCGAAACACTACGTGATATGCACATCAAGGACATCTTTACAGACACATCACCCAAAGCAGTGATAGCGAAGGCAAAGATAAACAGCTGGGACTACATCAAATTAAAGAACTT